TATTTAAAAGTAGTATTTTTGTGGAGGAAATATTTAAAAGTAGTATTATGAAGCAGTTGATTTCCCCCCGAGGAACACGAGTCGTCGTAAAGTTAAAGGGTTAAAACTGTTTGATTGAAATGTTCACATGATGCTTTGATGTGGATCAATTTCATGATCTTTGTAGTTACAGAAAACAAAGTGAAGTCTTTGAGCTGCAAGATAAAATTCTTTATTAGATTCTTGTAAATGTGTTATCTCACTCTACAAGTTGATTGGCAGCTGCTGCAGATTATGACTTCATGACTCTTTCCATGCATGAGACATTCTCATCAGTGATCAGAGCTCAGTCTGTGTTCACCAACAGAACATCTGTGTGTTAATGTTGGAAATGACCCCATTCATTCATTCAACCTTTATCTCTACAGGGTGGTCTCATTGAGCCACGGGGACTCGTCTGCAAGAGAGACCTGTTCCAGACGGATCATCTATGAAGAACGGTCCACAATGACGACAGTAAAAAATGACTCCAGCCTCCCAGAAGACACTGACAGTTGATTCTGTTGCCTAGTCTTCCTGTCTTATCATCAGTCATGTGATTTATAATGTTCAAGTATTTCTAGTGACAAAGTTCATAAATTGTCATTTATAACATCACAACCTTCATAATGCACAAGTTGATTCTCAGTGATAAAACTAAAAGTTGACTCTGGTGATTTTTATTTTTTGCCGTTAACTTTGCTAAATTCAAAAACGTGTTCTTTTAAAAACCCAACAACTTTATCTCAGGTGGTTCTTTGTTCAGAACAGAATAACGTAAAGTTGTTCTTTTGTAGTAATATGCTGGTGTTGTCAGTGTCTGTGTGTTGAAGTAACATGTCCTTAATGTTCACGTGTTTCAGTGGTTCCTGTCTACGTTTGGTGCCGATGAAAAGAAGAAGCTCCTCAACACTGAAGGCCTGATGTGGACCAGCTGGACCCAGAGCCTCTCATCAGAGTGGAAGTGAAGACCCCTGGACCAGTCTGGTGGGAGACCAACTCAGTATGGAGGAGACCGATATCAGGTTTTTGGTCACTACAGTTCCTTTCAAGAGTGAGGACGATAAAAAAAACTACCAGGAACCCAGATTTAAAAACTCACAAAGACTGATGTTAATGAGGACGATTTTGAAAATGTTATTTGTTTAATTCCTGATTTAATTATAATTTAATTAATTAGTTAAATGGTTAATGAACAGGTATCTCATGCAAGAGGATGGTGAAATGACCGATCCTGACTCTGACTCAGAACGTGAAGACCGTGTGAAAGACTGGAAGGAGAGCAGCGCTCCTGGATCAGAGGTAAGACCCGTCAACAAACCGCTGAGCAGTAAGCAGTATGTCAGTAACCAGACGCTTCAAAAACACATGACAAGGCATTCAGGAGTGAAGTCCTCAAGCTGTGGGGTTAATAAATGTGTTGGAGACAAGAACCATGTAGTCATGCAGGAAAGGCCAAAATCAATCAGCTGTGATGACTGTGGTAAAAGATTTATTTTCAAATCAAGTTTAAATTCACACAGGAGAGAAACCGTTTCCTTGTAAACTTTGTGGACAAATATTTAGTCAGAAGACGAGTTTAAAGTTACACATGAGAGTCCACACAGGAGTGAAAACTTTCTCACTGTAAATATTAAAATATCTATTACAGGTCAGAGATGCAACTGGTATCTTATCACCCAATTAAGATTTGTTTTGATTTTGTACAATAATTCTATGACCATTTCCCAAAGTATGTTTTGCTCCTAGTTTAAGAATAATTAACAAAACAAGTAAACCTTAGATCATCTTTGGGTTACAGGTGTTTTAAAATACTGGTTCAATGTCTGTGGAGAGAACCAACCAGACCCCAAGAAATGTTATTTGTTTAACTCCTGATTTAATTATAATTTAATTAATTAGTTAAATGGTTAATGAACAGGTATCTCACGCAAATGAAGTAATTGTGTTTTAATAATATTAACCTGTATAGTTTATATGTCTTTCTCTCTGTCTCCGTCTCTCTATCTCTCATTATCTCTTTATCTGTGTGTCTTTATCTATCTCTCATTCTCTGTGTGTCTGTTTGTGTCTCCATCTATCTGTCTATCTCTTTCTTTCTCTCTCTGTGTCTCTAACTATCGGTCTCTCTCAATCTATGTCTATCTCTCAACTCCCTCTGTCTACCTGTCTCTCAATCTATGTCTCTCTGTGTGTCTGTCTGTCTCTATCTATCTCTCAACATCTCTGTCTTATCTCTCTCTCTGTGTGTCTCTCTCTCTATCTATGTCTGTCTGTATGTGTCTCTATCTATCTATGTCTATCTCTCTCTGAACTCTCTCTATCTATCTATCACTCTATCTCTGTCTGTCTGTCTGTCTCTCAACTCTATCTATGTGTCTGTCTGTCTCTCTCTCTATATATATATATATAAATATCTGTCTGTGTGTCTCCATCTCTCTCTGTCTCTCAACTCTATCTGTCTGTCTCTCAACTCTCTGTCTATCTATCTCTCTCAATCTGTCTGTCTGTCTCTATGTCTGTCTATCTGTGTCTCTATCTCTCAACTCTCTGTGTCTCTCTCTAAATCTCTCTGTCTGTCTGTCTCTCAACTCTATCTATCTCGATCTGTGTATCTCTCTCTCAACTCTCTGTCTCTGTGTATCTCGATCTCTCTCTCTGTCTCTCTCTCAACTCTATCTATCTATGTGTCTGTGTCTATCTCTGTCTGTCTGTCTCTATGTCTGTCTCTGTGTCTCCATCTCTCTCTGTCTCTCAACTCTCTCAATCTATGTCTGTCTGTCTGTCTCTATCTCTCTCTGTCTATCTATCACTCTATCTCTGTCTCTCTCTGTCTGCGTGTCTCTCAACTCTATCTATCTCGATCTGCGTATCTCTCTCTCAACTCTCTGTGTCTGTCTCTCTCTGTCTATCTCTGTGTGTCTCTCTCTCTCTCTCTCTCTCTCTCTATATATATATATATATATATCTGTCTTTCTCGCTCAACTCTTATCTATCTGTCTCTATCTCTGTGTGTCTCTTTGTCTCTCTCATTCTCTCTGTGTGTGTCTCTCCCTCTCTCTGTGTCTCTCAACTCTGTCTGTCTATCTCTCTCTCTATCCATCTCTCAACTCTATCTATCTATCTCTGTCTGTCTCTCTATCTCTGTCTCTATCCATCTCTCAACTCTATCTATCTCTGTGTGTCTCTCTTTGTCTCTATCTTTGTCTATCTCTCAACTCTGTGTATCTCTCTCCATCTCTCATCTGTCTGTCTCTCCCTCTCTCTGTCTATCTCTCTGTGTCTGTCTCTCAATTCTCTGTGTCTGTCTCTCTATCTATCTCTATGTCTGTCTGTGTGTCTCTCAACTCTGTGTATCTCGATCTGTCTCTCTCTATGTCTGTCTGTGTGT